ATGAAGAATTCCACGACGAATTATAATTTCTCGAATTATAATTCGAATACAGAATTGAAGTAGAAGTGAATTTCTACTCTTCCGAAGCAACAAGTTCTCGGCGCACTGTTTTTAGCCGCGTTTATCTCACAGCACCTTGTACAACAGCATGTAATTGTACTCGATAAAGTAGAAGATTGCGCGGTCAAAACAAAGGAATCGAAGCATGTTATTAGTAATAAATTCACATTAATTCGATAGTAGCATAACCTGGCTGTTATCGCGCGCTGCGCGAGTCGGTACAATTAGTGGTTGCAAATTGTACCATAAATTAGTGTCCGCCGGGGTCGGTTGCTGAAAATCACGTCGGTTCCGATATATTCGTGCTATTCAACCGCGTTAAGTGCCGAACTTCAGCTCGAGAAATTCGCACAATATCGAAGTCATTTAATTAATGAATTAACTTCGGTTTCACTAGAAATTGAAAATTTGCCATAGGAAAATATTCGTTCAGTTATTTTGCATTCTACAAATCCTGATAACATTCAATTTGTTCAATGTATGTATATATTAGGATAAAAATAAATTTCGAAGACCTAATTAAAAATTAGTGTCCCCATAGCAGACCCCCGCGGCATTGGAACGTATTACAGTAGTGTCTCCCTTACTGACGCTCCGATTGCGCACAGAGATGGACAATTTGGGAAGAGGAGATGCGATTATTCTGAATTTACTGAGAATTTACTGTACGCCGTTTCTAATTCCAAGATTCCCTAAATGACTCGTTTCTACTTCGTCCGATATAAATTATTACAGCTTCCCGCGTGCCGTGTCTCCGAACGATTTTTCCGACGAAGATGAATTGTACAGTAAAAAAGTAAAGATTTCAGGCTTTAAAATGAGTTTAGTTTCGTTGTTCCACGATTTTTGTTCTCGAAGTTACAGTATTTTGAATATCGTCGATGTTTCGAAGGTTAGAAATTTTGCGCAAAGTCTGGAACGAGGTTTCCCATCCATGTGTCGCGAATTGTTGAAGGAATCGACGGACAGCTTCCGAAAGAAGACACTTCGGGCTTTAAAACGAGCCGAGTTCCATTGTTGTACGATATTTTTGCACGAAGTTATAGCTGTTTTTAGTATCGACAAATTTTTCGAAAATTTGAAACATCGACGAAAGTAGTGGACGGCTCGTTTTTATAGTTACCGATTGTCGACAATTATAAAAACGAGCCGCGAGGCTCGAACAATCGTATCTCCTTTTCCAAAACCGTTCATTTTTGTGGACAATCCGAGCGTCAGTTAAGGAGACATTACTGTAAATCGTTCTTGTAGGGTGCCGATAATGCGAATCGTGCGGCGAGCATCGAACGAAATCGAATCGTTAATATTGGAAACGATTGAAATGAAGCTCAAGTTTTGGCGTTCAAGCTTCGGATATCGTGCGAGCACAATTCTACTCGCGTGTCTGTTCAGTGCCGGCCGTTTCTACTTGCAGTAGAAAAGGCGTCTTCTCAAAAGCTATCGCACCGCGTTCTCGAGTTTTTATCCACTTTTTTCGATTGCAGCGTATATAAGCTGCCTAGTGTATTTTACGTTACTTTAACGATATATGATTTTTTAACAATATTAATTATTATTATTAACAATAGCAATTCACTATTGTACAATTATACGATGCAATTCGACATGCAATTTCTTAACGAGTTCCGATGCAGAATGAAACGTTCTGCGTGAAATTGCAGCATACACGAGCAAAGCAGAAATACCTTTCTTTCTTCAATGATTTTTAGTGAGTGAGAAATGATGTGCGAATATTTTTAAACCTTCGCACTAGAACGGAGTCTCCGAGGCGCCACTAAAAATTGCCGTGCCACGTTTCGAAATCATTTTGACAGTAATTGAATTTGTTTGTATTTTTAAAAAAATGTTATCAACGGTGCAAACATTGTACGCGTCGATAGATTTTTAAATTGGACAAACGATTTGAATTTTTTTGTAGATATTAGAACTAGTTTGCCCGACAATATATAAATAATAGTATAAATAATAAATCATATAAATAATAAATATTATAAATAATAAATACTATAAATAATAAATAATACAAACAATAAATAGTATAAATAATAAACGATATAAATAATAAATACTATAAATAATAAGAATAAATAATAAATAATAATAAATAAAAATTATAGCAAGAATGTTTTCGTAAAGATCAGTGTAAAAGTATTTGCGAGAATCGCGCTGCCGATTGAAACACGATTCGCAAACGAACGCGAGCTCTCTTAACGGGTTCGTTTTAATCTATTTCGGCGAATCTTTCGAAAAGAACGCGAATCGATTTCGCGAGATGGTTGCCGGGATCAATGAAGAAACGATGCTTAATGCTTGGCGGGAATAAACGTTCGAGCGACATTAACGTTGATTATATCACGGAGCACCGTGCACGGTGTAACTGGGTTAGCAGTTCGCCGGCAATTCTCCTGCGACGTCGTGTTTGGTTCGACGCTTTTTTTTTGTCTCTCTCGTTTCTTTCCGCCATCGTGAAGCGATCGTCTCGCTCGCGGTCTCTCTCTCTCTCCAGCGACTCGTTTTATTTCTCCTCTCCTTTAATCGTATTACGGTCAACCCGCGACCGGTTCTCAAAATTAATGCAAGAGAGAGAGAACGGTGCACACAAGTTACAGCGTGCCGCCCGGAGCTCGCGGCGACTGCAAAAGGTCGTGATATTGCTTCGACCTTGCCGCGGATATATTTCGCGGACTACTCGGATACAGATAACGGTCGACGGTAATGCTTATTGTCTACTTGCGTTAACTGCGCCCGGGAACTCCGCCGCCGCCGTTGCCGCCGCCGCGAGCGAAACCGTTCGTCGCGGACCGCGCGCGCGTTGCAGATTCTCGCGAGATTCTCGATGCAATCGGCGAATCGCTCTATTCCCAGGAATTTTCTGACGGAGAAAATTGAGAGGAGCGATAGAGAGATTTCGGTGTTCTAATTCGGTGCTGTGATATTTGAAAAAAAATGATTTATATATATGTATAATTATATATAAAATATATATTATATTTAATATATGTAATTATATACATATATGAAATATGTGAAATATTCTACAATAACATAATCTTGATTAACCGTATTGGATTTTCCTTGATCTTTAACCCTTTCATAGGTATGTACTGGGAACTATGCTTCCCATCCACTTTTAGTGCGCATATCGACCACCAAGCTCAAATATATTCTCACCGTTGGAAACTCTTACTGAATTGAAATATTCTTGGAAATTCTTATTGAATTGAAATATTCTTGGAAATACATATTGAATTGAAATATTCTTGAAAATTCTTATTGTGTGAATTG